AGGAACCAAGATTTGTATTCACGAGCACAAAATTATCTTTTAAACCAAAGCACAACCTACTATTAATATTTATTCTGCAATAAAATGTCTTTTCCAAAATGAGGGCTCACTGGACATAAACAGAAAATCTAATTATTCTCTAATTTAGTAGGGAAACTTCTCTACATATCCCTAAATTTTCAGTAAGTAACAAAAGCATCCAAAAACAAACAAAGGGGAAAAAAGATTCTTGCTCCAAATGCATTCAGTACATTTTTATCATTCATGTTGATGTTTTAAATGATTGATTCTAATACTCACTATGCATTTTACTGTAGCATTATAACAACAACATAATAGAATGTCTAACTTCAAATGGAAAAGAATACATTGAGTTGTCACAATATGGAAGATCAATTGAAATTACCACAAAAACCTTGCAGAATCACCCTCCCCATCTTAATTTTTATAGAATATAACAAAGCAGATATACAAAATTATTATAGTTACATCTGGATCAAGAGCCTATTGAAAGTTATTGTTTCAAGAAATTGGAACTTACCCTTCCAAAAGGCTCAAAGATCCCCCGCAGCATATCTTCAGTTATGTTAAAGTGTAATGAGCCCACATAAAGCCTCATAGGTCCAGCACTTCCCTTTTGTAGATTGTTTGCCATTGCTGCAGCTCTGTTTTTTTCTGCCTACAAGTTACATTAAGTAAAAAGGCACATTATAAATCAAATCAAACCATTTAGTCATATGTCATTTTTTCCCCAAGTACCTATCATAAAAAACTGGCGTACCTTTAGTATAGGAGAACAGAAAGTTAAAGTTAAATAAGTTCAAATCTCATTTAATTTGATGCTTCTGAGCCCTGGTGGTCAGGTGAATCTATAAACTATTAGGTTGTACTCCTCCATCACAGGAAGAGAACAGACCAAGTACTTTTCTATTGTTTACATACAATCAAGTGATAAATACCCAACATTAAGTATTCCTAAAATATTAACTAGGATATTATCACCTTTTACAGGTCATAAAGCAAATAATTTGATTATGGTTGCATAAACTTGTTAGCAGTGAAACTGGAATTTCAACTCTGATTTTGGTTACAAAGCTTATTTGTAACTTACATATGAGTCTGATGAAGGAACCAAAAATTTAGGAGTTATGGTATATTTTGTTCAGTGATTTGAAAACCTACCAACACGACTATTTAGGTACAGATGATGAATCCTAACATATACTTTCCTATTATATAAATATATTGATACATCCCAATTTTTCCACATCTAAATGAACTAAAATATTTTTTTGCCAATTTCGTAAAGAATCAGCAGAGAGGAATTATATTACAATTTGGATTATATTAAAAGATATTCTTAAATTAATCTGGACTATTTTAGAAGATATTCCTTTTTTATTTTATATATTTTATTGATTTTTTTACAGAGAGGAAGGGAGAGAGATAGAGAATTAGAAACATCGATGAGAGAGAAACATTGATCAGCTGCCTACTGCACATCTCCCACTGGGGATGTATCCACAACCCAGGTACATGCCCCTGACCGGAATTGAACCTGGGACCTTTCAGTCTGCAGGCCGACACTCCATCCACTGAGCCAAACCAGTTTCAGCAAGATATTCTTTTTTTTTAAAATAAATATATTTTTACTGATTTCAGAGAGGAAGGAAGAGGGAGAGATAGAAACATCAATGATGAGAGAGAATCATTGATTGGCTGCCTCCCTCATTCCCCACCATTGGGGATCGAGCCCACAACTCAGGCATGTACCCTTGACAGGCATAGAACCAGGGACCCTTCAGTCTATAGGCCGACACTCCATCCATTGTGCCAAACCAGCTAGGGCTAGAAGATATTCTTAAATTAGTTTGAAATATCTTATTTTAAAGAAATACTAGGAATGATGGCTATTCAAAAACTACTTTTTAAAAATTGATTGATTTTAGAGACAGGAAGGTAGAGAGGGGGGAAAAGGGAAGGGTAAAAGAGAGAAACAATTTTTTTTAATTTCTTTTTTTCAAATACATTTTATTGATTTTTTACAGAGAGGAAGGGAGAGAGTTAGAAACATCGATCAGCTACGCCCGCAAACCAGGTACATGCCCTTGACCGGAATCTAACCCGGGACCCTTCAGTCCACAAGCCGACGCTCTATCTACTGAGCCAGGTTTTGGCAATCGTGCTTTAAAAGATTTCACTTATATTTTAGTAATGAGGTGTTAAGAGTCAACACTAGCACCTCATGTTAAGTATAACAAAATGCACTCTTTTATTGATTTTAGAAAGAAAGTGGAGGGGCAGAGGGAGAGAGAGAAAGAGAGAGAGAGAAATAGACATCGATTTGTTGTTCCATTTATTTATGCATTCATTTGGTTAATATTTTTTTGCCTTAACAGAGTGGAAGGGAGGAAGACAGAAAGAGAAGCATTGATGTGAGAAACATCAATTGGTTGCCTCCTGCATGCAGCACCCAGGGGATTGAGCCTGCAACCGAGGTACATCTTGACCTTGGCCAGAATCACATCAGAGATCCTTCTATCCATGGGTCAACACTCTATCCACTGAACCAAACCGGCTAGAACATTGGTTGATTCTTATATGTGCCCTGAGATCAAACCTGCAACCTTGGCATTATTGGGATGATGATGCTCTTAACCAAATAAGCTAGCCAGTCACGGCCAAACTATTCTTGACATAAAGTAAAATCTTCTGAAAATGTTAATTTTTTGTTATACTCACCAAGAATTGTTAATTCTCTGAAGGTCACTGGCTAACACAAACCACTGAGAAAACTAGCCAGGACAGAAAATGTTAATTTTTTTTTTAATGTCAAAATTAGTGTGCTCACCCTAGCCGGTTTGGCTTAGTGGATAGAGTGTCAGCCTGCGGACTGAAGGGTCCCAGGTTCGATTCCAGTCAAGGGCATGTTCCTTAGTTGTGGGAACACCCCCAGTGTGGGGTATGCAGGAGGCAGCTGATCGATGTTTCTAAACCTCTATCCCTCTCCCTTCCTCTCTGTAAAAAAAAAAATAAAATATACTTTAAATTAGCGTGCTCTCTCTCCTGGGAGCTCGCCATACCTTTCCCTCCCCACCTCTTCATACCTCATAGGCATGCATCCCCTAAACTCTTGCAACCAGGGAAGCAATGAGCAGCCACAGCTCTTCTGGTCTAAAGCCATAAACCTGTCTCCAAGGCCCCCTTTTCTCTAACTATTCAGTGAGCCAAAGTAGCTCTGCCTAGGCTCTCTCCTGTTTCTTCTTCTACTCTAATCCCTAACTTGTTTCATTGTCCCCAACTTTAATAAATGTACTCTCAAAAAAGGTCAAAATTGTTCAATTTGACAAACTGCAAGGAAAAAACATGTTCGTGGATGCTTAATAAACAACTAAGAGACTATTATAAATCAATAAAATTCTAGATCAAGTTCTCAAGTCTTTTTCATGAAATAGGTATTTACACCTTAAGGCACAAAATACTACAGCACAACACTAAGCCAACAGCAGGTTTCCACTGTTATCAATGATCAAAATCTAAAGCAAGAAAAAAAAATTACCTGTGATGCCTGCACTATGATTGGCACTCCTAAAACACGTTGGCCAGTTAATCCTATTGCTAGAGGCACTGAGCTAACATCAACAAACTCCACATAAGCAATTCCCTTGGACCGTCTTGAATTTCTATCAGAAATCATCCTCACATCTCGAACCTAAAAAGAAAACACACATTTAACACAAGGTTGTTTCTGGAACCATCCAGTATAAGCCATTCTAAATAATAATTTCAAAAACAGACAAGAGGCATATTATTGACAAAGCAAAGGTGTGAGCCATTAAAATTTTTTAAAGTACATTTGTGGGCCCACTTCTAGCTTCTATTTTTTGATAAATGTGGTAACATTTATCACCTCCAACATTTATTAACTTCCAAGTAAGGTTAAATAGAAATGTTAACAAAAAATAAATTCTGTATTTAAATTCTACTAAATCAAAAGGTTTGTGTTTAGATGTCTTCCATTTCATGTCATACTGACAATTATTGAAATGTTTCCAATTTCCACTTATATGACCTCCCTAAATAGGTCAAGATTACCTTTCCTACTGTAGAAAAAAACTCTTCCAGATCCCTTGGTCGAATTCTTGCTGCCAGCTGCATGCAGAAAACCGTCCTTGCATCTCTTTCCTCAGGAGTTAGATTATCAATAGGTTCCCTAACAGGAGTAAGAAATACAGCAATTTATAACTTATTCTTGTTAAAGTACATTTTCAGTAAACAGAATAAACTTCGATGTTTCTATCTCTCTAATATCAATAAAAACATTATTTTAAAACAGGGAAATTATAGTAGTGGGCTACAATTTATTCATTATTACAAATAGCCTTACATTTCTAAATTTAAAGAAACTAAAGTGCCCAAGGGAGAAAATAAAAGCATAATAGATGACATTTACTTTTATAAATTTTAAGGAAAATAGAAGTATCTATTAACATCAATTATGAAATATTCACTATATGGTTAAGGTTCTAAGTGAATCCTTCATGATACAAGCATAAACATGGTCTATCTTATCCATGTTTTGAACATTCTCAGGAATACTTTTGAAATACTCTATACAAAATTCTGGTACATCCCATTGAGAAATCAACAAGTGATTTTAAAAATATTACTGTAAAACAGAGATACAAAGCTGGACTAGATCCAGAGAAAGGTAACTAAAGGGAATTTTTAGATAGAAAATTAAATATTAGAGTTAAAAACCTCAATATCTGCAAGAGCTTTTAAAATTGAGGTTTTTACCAAATCCTGGAATATTAGAATATACCAAGTAACAGAATAAACTCAAAGTTAAAAAGTTTCCACTAAGGCTGGTTGGCGCGGCTCAATGGTTGAGCATCGACCTATGAACCAGGAAATCACGGTTCAATTCTGGTCAGGGAACATGCACAGGTTGCAGAGTTGATCCCCAGTGTGGGGTATGCAGGAGGGAGCCAATTAATGATTCTCTCATCACTGATATTTCTATCTCTCTTTCCTATCTGAAATCAGTTAAAAAAAAAAAAAGGTTCCCTTTAAGGGAAGGCAGAACACCAGTAAAGAACAATGCTATGAATATAACGCTGCCAATATAATAAAACGTTACGTGAACAAAATGGTAAATTGGACAGGTAAGTCTTATGTTTATTTAAAAGGAAAATAACCTATAGAAACATTGAAGAACCAAAGACTACTATTTAAAAATCAGTCAGCTTGGTTAAGATTTATTTATATGCAATTAAAAGGAAAGCTGTTGAAAATTTAGAAATACATTAACAGTACTAGTACTACAAAAGGACATTTAATATGATCCAATTTACTTAATGTCACTAAATTTAGCAGTAGTATAAATTACAAAAGCTGTTTAAAAGCTAAAAGTTTTAAAGAAATAAATAGTGACAACAGCTACCTCACGGGGCTCTTGTCTTTTCTGAATGGACTTTTGCTTCGGGAACGTCGTCTGCTGCAAAGTTAAAAAGTTTCAGAAGTTACCCAAACAAGTACACCACATTAGTTCCTTGAAAAACAATTTAAACAATTCAGAAGTATGTTTAAAAACCTTAATTTGACGCTATGAGGCAACCCAATCTTTCCTCGGATGGCACTGTTAAATTTTGGTCCGGAGCTAAAAAGGAAACACAAAATTACACTAGTTACAGGTTTAGGGTCTTGCTAAGATCACGTTCATGTGCTCTCCAGCAAGCTTAACATTGTTTAGGCTGCTTCTTTTCCACCTCAATTATGAAGAGGAAATAGACTTTTTAATTCTATCCCAAGCAAACTGCTGTTACAGTTATCTATCCTGGACCACTGAGAGGTGCCAAGACCAAAGGTTACAGCCTCAAAATGTTTAAATTCTGAAAATGCTCATTCTTATTTTTAGTCTATAGTTTTTAAAAGATTACACATTTATGAATACATTCCTGAGGTTTAAGAAAAACAGAAGTCCTTACTTCTCTTACACAAGAAATAACTAAAGTTAACAATTTGGCGTGCATCTCTGCACATACTTTCTCAGGAACATACATATAATTCATGTTTTCTTAAGAGACTTCTTTAAAAGATAGGGAGACTATTTATACATAATCATGAAACTCCAAAATTCCATTTTACAACGAATCTCAGGGACTGCATAAAAACACATCTAGCACATCATACTTCACTTCCCTGTGGCAAAATATCCCATAGTAAAGATGTGAAGGAAGTTCAATTCTTCAAAAACACTTTTTTTGAGGACTTGACATATTAAAGGTTTAAAAAAAATCAAAAAGACAACTATTCTAAAATACAAATTTATTCTGTATTCTAAATAACTCTAAAAAGGTCCAGCAGTTTGGGGGCCTTTTATTTTGAAAGACCAAAAGAAACTAAATTTAAGAGACAAATCAGATGTCCCTTAGTGCTCATCCCGTTATTCTTTTCCAGAAAGGTAGCAAAATGAAGTATCTAGTGGTCTGTGACCCACCATTTGAATTTGTTTTCATGAGCTACACATGTACCTAACAACATCCAAGCAATTCCAAATAAATGATTTTGTATTAACACACTGTATGCGGGAAACGTATTTATACGTTTACATCGACTGTAGTAGTAGAGCGCGAGACACGTATTAATACGTTTTTTATAGACTAGCGGTAGAATGCGGGTAACGTATAAATATGTAAACTAAAGTTATCGTAATTTTACTGACCGTTGCCATTTGTGCAAAAAATTAGCAAAAATGGCCCGCGCCACCTGTTAGCGCGCGATAAAAACTACCCGCAAATAACGTTTTAATCTTTGCAATTCAAGCTAATACTGATAAGAATATACATTTACTGAATAAATTAAAAGTTCAAAGAAGAATGTATAAATACTTTCTTCTCCCTTAATTATAAAAGTACCAATTTCTGCCTCCATAGTTAAAAATCACCTGAAGCCAAATGTAAAAACTAAATCATTTTTAAGTCAGACCAGGATCACAGGCTGACTTTGAGCATTCATCACTGAAGAGAGAAAATAGTACTCAAAATTAATTAAGGTAATCCTTTTCCCTATTTAGTTCATTTTGGTTAAAAAAAAAAAAAAAAGAATGCAGTAGACTTTGATAAGTTGGAGAAAAAGCAAAATGTTTTTAATAGAGCATTTGGAATTAGAAAACATGGTGGAACCTTTAAGCACTTTAGAAAGTTTATGAAATAAGCAGCTAGAATGAACTTAAAAAACAAAGAGTTCAATTCTTTATATTTTAAAGATTTAAGAACCAGAATCAGAACTCAGTGATAATAACTTTAATGGTTTCAAACGCCAAAACATTTCATGAATAGCAGTACGATGGGTGTTTTATTTACATTCTCTTCAATTTTCATTAATAGTTTTTCTGACAATTGTTACCTCTTTCTTAAAAGTTGAGAAAACTAAAGCTTAGTGTTAACTTGTAGTAACTTGCCCAAGTGGCAGAGCCAAGGTTCTGATTTAGCTGTTTGTCTTTGATTTCTACTTTCAACATTTCAAGTTTTAAAGTTAGAAGTGTTAATTTTAACATAACCCAGTTTACAACAGTATGTTTATGAAGAGGAAAGCACCAAGGACTCTTAGATTCAATCCTTGCTTTTACCAGTTATTTGAGATGTTTTTAATAACTATATTGAAACTTTGGACCTTAAATAGCCACATCCAACTTTTTGTAGTGATTTAACCTTCAAAGCACATTTAGTGCTTTATTTAAAAAAAAAAAAAAAGAACCTTAAATACAAACAATGTGATAAGTCCCCAAAATCATCATTATCCAGGAGCATACACCAAATTCACAAAGGGTCTGTCATTTCAGCTGTAAACAGCCACACAGATAAGATTACTGTTAACAAATTACATAATTGACTATTGTAACTTACATCCATCTGAGCTTTAAACTTTTAAATAACTTTATGTTCAGTTAATGTTCATATACCCAAGTATTTGGCATTACATATCAAAAAAAATTGTTAAGCATTCTAATGCTTTAGTTTGGACTGGCATACAGTTCTAAAATATTTTAATATAGAATAACAAAATAATCTGTATGCCTAGAGTAAAACAGATGTTTTTGTCCACAAATAGTTTTTCACTTTACTAGCCCTTCTATGCCAAATATCCTTATTTAATGAAACACTCTGAAGAGTAAAATTTCACAGTTCAAATCACTCAGGTTAAATTGCTATCTGGATACTCAGCAAAGACTCTCAAACCAAAATCATCATAATTATAGTTACATACTAAGGACTTCTGTAGCGGCCTCTGAATCTGCGATCTCGACTTCTTGAGCGGCTCCGTCTCCTTTCTTTGCTTCTACTTCGCTTCCTTTCACGGCTTTTGCTCTTTTTCCTTTCTCTATCTCTGCTTCGCTTCCGTTCCTTACTTTTGCTTCTTTTTCGTTCATGACTACGACTTCTGCTCTTGCTTTTTTTCCTCCTGAGAAGAAAAAAAGTCACCATTATATTGCAGGTTTAAGAATCTGCCAAAATATACTGCCTTTATGGTCAGAATTTAAAAAATCTGTTTGCAAATTTATTTTGCTTTTTAATATCATACAATGATACATGATCATATTATGGAAAAATAATTTCTAGGTAAGATAAACACCCAACCGTTACTTTCTACTACCAAAAATCAGCAGTTGACAAAGAATCCGAGAGAGCAGGGACTATTCCTGAGAGTCAGCTGCAGCTCTAACAAGAAAAAGGTCTTATCAGCAGATAGAGATCAAAACTTGAACTTTTAAATAAAAAGTTCATCTTACAACTGGCCAACAGGTATTACTGTAATCCACAGCATACAGTAATAAATCAAAGTTATAATAGAATATGTTAACAGTTAAATATTAATGTTGGACCACATATAAAATTTTCCATTAAATACATTAATTTTCCTTAAGCCATTTTTGACCCAATTTATACTTTAAATACTTTCAACAGCCATGCAAACATCAATATTTTGTTTTTTATCAGCAAAATTATAAGGAATGACAAAGGATAAACTATTGCAGTAAAATGTATTGACACTCCTAGACTTTATTGTAATCATTTCAGATACTTTCTTTTGAAAGTTTTGAGTATACCGGAATATGGAGTATGCCTTTTTATGCCAGTTTATACAAGCCTGTGGGGTGCAATAAAAAACAACAATCAACATCTCTATATATATTTCTTTATAAAATTATAAACTCTGAAAGGTAAAAAGCCAGTCAGTCATCTTTGTGTTCAGTTCTGTATTCTTCAGTGTGCCATCACCCAACTTTTAGAGGTGCCTTCAGATATTTCAGTATAAATTGAAAGACATTTCAAAATAAACTTATTCCACTAAAATGTCAATTTGTAATGGCTAAAAGATTGAACATTTTGACAAGTCTACATCATTTGGAAATTTCATTTTAACTCTTTAGTCCTATCAAAGCAAAATTAGCACAAGAGCATTGAAGTCTGCCTCAGAGAGAACCTGTAAGCAGGTCATCTTAGAGTGCATTGAAAATAGAAAATGAAGACACCCACCTTCTGGAATCTTGAAACCCACACTCCAATCACAAGGAGATGTAGAGCTTTCCAAGGAGGCAGAAACTTTTGTCTAAAATTTCAAGATAATCCACCTGACTGTCAGAAATGTATATGCTAGGTAGCACATGACAGAAAATTAGGCTACACTCATTATTTATATAGAAGTCATCAAAGCAACGCCCAGAAGGGCAAAAGATAACATTCCAACTTTGTTGCCTAAAAAACCTGACACTATCTATTAAATAAGTCTGTGCAATAGCTGTAAGTCCTAAATATAATCAATTAGAGGACAAAGTAAAAAGTAACTCAATCTTCCACAAATAAGATAAAGTTTTTGCTCTGCTCATATATAGCCCACAGTAGAGAGGCACCAAACCTATCTACCTCTTTTAAGACCTAAAACTTATTTTACCAAAGGAAACACTCAAATATTGGAGAATTAATTTCAACTTAAGGTCTTCCTAGGACTTTTAATGAGTCCTCACCCACATCTGAAGGCAACCCCAGACAGGTAAATAGACAGCAACCTGATTAAGACATTCAGAATATACAATTCTCTGCATAAAAGCCCAGACAAAAACTTCAGGGTGCAAGAAAGCAGTATACTTCTCTATAACGGATTGCAGCTTCAAAGAACAAAGTTAACTAAAGAAGGGTTATAAAAATCCATACTAATAGTCAAATCCTGTTACAACTTAATGGGACTTTCCAAAGTCTTTAGTGGCAGTGGAATTTTGTACTGAACATCATTGAAGTAAATGGTCCACTGGGCTGGGCCTTTGGACTTTTTGGTTATATGGCCTCTGCTGTAAAGGTGTTTTGCTATAACTGGATTTGACCTCTTCCATGTAAGAAGATCTAAATTTTAAATGCAAAGTACTCTGGAAAATAAGAAAAAAAATAGAAAAGTCATTTATTCCAAAATTTATAATCCACACCACAGTAGCCAATATATTTCAACTGTGTCATTTTATTGTTATCCCCCCCCCCTTTCTTTTTTTACTAATTCCTAAAGAGCTTAACTGAATGAATGGTGATTTAGACTTTGCAAAACTGGTTACACTAACATAACATTCCCATGAAGGCAAGCTCCAGTACTTGATGTCTTGCCAAACTCAGGGGTATATAGCTCTTTTGAAAGTAAGTCAATTTAGAACCAATTTGTGTTATATTAAACTTAGTTCCTTTTACTATTAGAATACGAATGAGTGTATGCATTGAGAATCAGAATATTATTTTTTTGTGTTTTTTTAGAATTAGTATTTTTTTTAAAGAAAACATTTACTAGTCTCTCAATTCTCAGAATGTGTATTTTCTTACTACCTTAAAACTATCCCACCCTAGCCGGTTTGGCTCAGTGGATAAGAGTGTCGGACTGTGGACTGAAGGGTCCCAGGTTCGATTCCAGTCAAGGCACACACCCGGGTTGCGGGCTCAATCCCCATTAAGGGGTTTGCAGGAGGCGGCCAATCAATGATTTTCTCTCATCATTGATGTTTCTGTCTCTACCTCTCCATTCTTCTCTGTAATCAATAAAAATATTTTTTAAAAAAACCTATCTCAACACTCAATTACTTTTTAGACAATGAAGTTTTAGGATGAAAAATGCAAGGTGGCACCTTCCTTTGGTTGACTTAACTTACACTAAAAATTAATCACAGAACATTTACTTGTTTTATATTACATCCATCACCAAACAAAAATTTCTTTTAGATAACTTTGAAATTTGAAAAGATAATTCCATTCAAAAAGTGGGTGAAAGTGCCTGACTGAATAAGAGAGCCATTTATTTAATCAGCTACACATAATTAAGGCTGAGAAGGCTGACAGAGAAATAATCTGTACACTTAAAAGATATCAGATAGTAGTTGGGAGTGTTTTGAAAAGTTTTCCCCTTAAACAAGAGAGATCCCTATGGTCAATTACAGAAAAGTGTCCATTCTATTTAGTCTCATAAAGACTTTTTACGTTAGATAAAAAGGCCACTAAGCATCAGTCACTGAATTCTTGTAAAAGCTTGGTGGCCTTAATGAGCTTAGATGCAGGATGAAAACAAGTAAAACTGGAGATGGTATTAGCAGCAAGGAGGGACATCTGAGAATGGTACAACAAAGGTCTATGCCCTACAGTGTATGTCCTCATTCTTTCTGTACTTAACTGTGAGTTTTACTCACTCACCAGGCCCGATACCTAGAATGGATCATTTCAGTCATTTCATATGAATATCACCCCCTTCCTAAGTTTTCTTGGATTACAGAATTGCAAATTAGAACCATTAATTAGGAAAGTTACTCTGTGAAAGGTCAAAAACCAGATGACATTAAATCATGCCATGATTGGTTGACTGCCTCATATAGCAATTCAAGACTAAACCCAACCTAATTAATACCCATAATATATTGTGGCTAGTGAAGAACAGACTTCCACAAGAAAAAAATATAGGACATTCACTACATTTTACATCACTTTTAAACCATTACTACTACATTATTTTGAGGAAACTATAATTTTAAAAAATGCGAGTAGCAAAGCCTGAATAATCCCACCTGACAATTTTTTCATCTTTTTATGAAATTGTATCAACCTAACCAAGTTGTTGTGAAGATGTTGAAGTAGTATATTATGAAAAGCACTTTCAACTCTTAGGAGGAAAAGAGCCAAAAAATAACCAAGGAGTGGCTATTTACCATCATTTTTCATTATGTATTAAGAGCTCATGAACATGACAAAATAGTTTAATACATTACAAATACAGGTTAACAAAACAATTTAATGCTTGTAACTCACTAATCTTAGAACTGAAAGGACACTCCAAGAATAGTATCCAACCTTATAAAGTAGATCTAATTTATACTGTTACTTAGAATTTTATCTACTGTATATTCTGTAGCACTGGGTTACTATTTTGGGTTACTCATTAACTCAAATAAATTGTATCACTTGATTTTTAAAAATTCCCCCATTCTTACTATTAAGTCCAACTGAGTTTAAAAAGTTTTAAGACAACAAACGCTATGTAGAAGGAACATAAGTACTTAAGTATGCTATAGCATTAGCACAAACAGGGCCTTAATCAGCAAGGATCTTAAGTAATTGATAGCTCCGAATCCTTCAGTAATTTAGAACTAAGAATCCTTTCCCTGGCCTGATTATTTACTTTTTCTTCTTCCTAACCCATTTTCAGTGGATATTTTAGTATATTTGGTAACATCAATTAATATTAAGAAATAAGATACAACTCTCATCCAAACTGTCATGGATGTACTTGGAGGGGAAGGTGTCCAGAAGGTCCCT